CACTAGGCTATCAGAGCTAATGACAAGTTTTCTAATGTAGTTTGTTTTTTTCCCTTAAAATTTTCTAACATAATTTTGTATGTTAACTATTTCAGCTATCTTGGCTCCAAGATCAACACTCTTGGCATCAATAGTCAAGATATCAAAAGACAAATTGCTTTAGGGATGTCTGCTGGACCTTTCTAAAGGGCTAAAATGCAATGATGTCAGTCTAGAGACTATGGTGTGCCTTATTCAGGCCAGGGTCTTTGCAATTACTTGCTATGCATCAGGGAGTTAGACAATTAATAAGGACGACAGAAGAATTTATGCCTTTGTGTTGTGGTGCTAGAGAAGAGTATTGGTGCTAGAGAAGAGTATGTGGACCCCCAGGAAAAGAAACAGGTCTGTCTTGGAGAGGATGAAACCAAGTTTCTTCTTGGAGGAAGGGTTTTGAAACTACATCTCACATACTTTGAGCATATGGCCAAGAGGGACCAGTCCTTGGAGAAGGACATCATTCTTAGAAGGGTGAGGGGACAGCACAAATGAAGAGAATCCCAAATGAGATAGATTGACATGTTAACACGGGCAAGGGGGTTAGGTGTGTCAGAGTCAGTGAGACTTGGCTTGGGATAGGCAGGGCTCAGAGCTATTTTACATAGGGTTGCTATGAGTTGTAGGCAACTTGATGGCACAAAACAACAACAACAACATATCACACACATGCTATGCTGAAGTCCTAAACAAGTGGACACTACAGGGAGAATTATCCATCTGCAGACTTCACTAAAATCATCACAGAACTTAAACAATCACCAAGATTTAGTAGGCATATGATTTATGTATGTATACATGTGTGAGAACACATGCATACTACAGTGGGTTATTCAATGTGACATCTAGCCATTGGTTTTTATTTTAAACATATAACTGAGTTGTTTTTGTGTACCATCAAATCAGAATGGACCTATAGCTGACAGTTCGGTGGGTTTGCAGAGACAGTTATCGAATGGGAGAAAATTGCCCATCCGTCTCCCGCAGAGCAACTGGTGGATTTAAACTGTGAACTGTGGATTTGAACTTTGGGATTGCAGCCCAACTTTTTAACCACAAGTCCACCAGAACTATGTCCCAGCTGGGTAGGACTATGCAAATGTTGTATATGTAGGACTATGCAAATGTTGTATATTTATGATCTTATCAATGAAAGTGGATAGTTTGCTAATAAAAAATAGTAAAAAAATTAGGCATATAAACTACTAATGAAGGGGTTAATCTTTTTTTCAAATAACTAGTGATGCAAATTGGTAGAAACAAGCAGATAAGTTATGTAAACTACTAACAAGGGGATTAATTAGTTTCGCCATCCTGCTAGGCTTAAATTGAGATGGTTCAGAGGCAGAAAATGGGCATCTTGCCACTCTATGAATAAAAAGAAAAAGCAGAGAGTGAAGAACATTCTTTTGGGCCAGAGATTTCTGTACCACCCAGAACAGCAGCACTAACAGTTTAGATAATAAAGAACTAGACACTGCTGTTGGACACAGTTGAAGTAAACCTGCTGTTCCATGGAGGGAATGCTTAGGGTCTTCTTACTGGTGGAGTGGTGCTAGGAGGATGTTATAATTGTCAAAACAAAGAAAGTTTTTAACATTAACCCAGCACAGTGTTAAATGCCCAGTGAAACAAATGTTAAAAGATCCTGTGTGCCTACCCGAGAAGCTGTCCTAGTTGAAGAATTGTATCCTGATTGTTGCCTAATGGAATTTGAATCTGCTAGTTCCCTAACAAGGGAAATCTGGTGACTCAGTGGTAAGTAGTTATGCTGCCAACCCAAAAGCATGTGGTTGAAATCCACCAGCAGCTACACTGGAAAAGATTAATTTACTGCTTCTGAAAACCAGCTGCACGCTCAGCTATGGATCAGTTCTGACTCAACAGTACAAAATAGCTGCAATTATTCTAACAAACTTTGTAACTTTGAGTATTGTCTGTGAGCTCAGTGTGGTCTTTCCAATAGATTAATGAATCAAGTACTATCATCATGAGAGTATGAGAGGGACAGTTGGTGTTAAAATTGATACATATATAATTGGAGAGCTCTTTGTGTCCTTGATCCCAAGTCACAAAGAGGTCAGGAAACAAGGACAGACCTTCTGTCTCCAGGGACACCCTAGTCTTTCTCCCCCTATTAATGATCCTTGCATCATCCCTTCCCTTTGGTGATGTACACTGTATTTCTACTAAGGTGACCCAAAAGAGTGTAGAAATTATGGAACAATATCACTAATATCAGACGCAAACACAATCCTGCTGAAGATTATCTAAAAATGACTGGAAGAATACATCAACAGAGAACTACCAGGAATACAAGCTGGGTTTAGAAGAGGTTGTGGCACTAAAGACACTATTGTTAATGTCAGATGGATCTTGGCAGAAAGCAGAGAGTACCAGAAGAATGTCTGTGTTTCATTGACTATGCAAAGACATTTGACTGTATGGATCACAACGAATTGTGACCAATCTTGAGGAGAATGGGAATCTCAGAACACTTGATTATGCTCATGTTCAAAAACTGTACTCAGGTCAGGAAGTAGTCCTCAGAACAGAGCAAGGAAATACTGCGTGGTTCAAAATCAGGAAAGGAGTGTGTCAGGGATGTATCTACATACCTTTTCAACAGATATGCAGAACAGATCATTCAGGAGGCTGGACTTTATGAGGAGGATTGTGGCATCAAGATTGGAGGAAGACTCATCAACAACCTATGCTATACAAATGACACAACCTTGCTTGCTGAAACTGAGGAGGACCTGAAGCGCTTGTTGGAGATGGTCAATGATTATCTTATTGAATATGGATTGAAGCTAAACATGAAGAAGACAAAGATTCTCACCATGGGCCAATTGTCAACACTATGACAGAGAAGAGATTGAGGTTGTTAACATCTACAGCTTGCTTGGCTCCACAATCAACACTTTTGGCATCAGCAGTCAGTAAATT